TCTTCGTAATTTCGGAAATGTGATAAGGGGTAACACAACTGATATAAAACGGACTGTCTTAGCCAATTGTATTCATAGTTGATTAGGGCCAACGCAATGAAACCCATTTGCCTCGTACTCTGCTTGTTTTCGCTAGGCCAAGTTTATTTGGCCAGTGCCGAAATAGGTGACAATGTGAAGATCCAGTCGTTGAAGAAGTATTCATCGTCCTGCAAAGAGTTAAACCCCAAGAAAAGCGGTGTTCAAAAGATCCAAGTGGGTTCTGATGTAATCGAGGTATACTGCGATGTGACCATCGCCGGAAAAGGATGGTTGGTCGTCCAGCGAAGGGTCAGTATGGAGGAGAATTTCTTCCGCAATTGGACTTCTTATCAAACGGGTTTTGGAGACCTAAAGGCTAACTTCTTCCTCGGTCTGAACAATCTGAACAAGATTACGGCCCTGGAACCTCAGGAGCTGTATATTCAAATGGTTGATTTCACTGGAGCGAAGCGATATGCACACTACAATCTGTTCAGTGTGGGCAATGTGTACAGTAACTACTCGCTCACTCAACTTGGAGTGTACAGTGGATCCGCTGGAGATAGCCTGAGATATCATCTGAACCAGCCTTTCAGCACCTTTGACAAGGATAACGACAAAAGCTCCATCAATTGTGCGGCCAGATACTTGGGAGCTTGGTGGTACAAGGATTGCCTTTACAGGTAAAGTTTTTAACCATAGTAGGATCTTTAGATCCCAATAATCACCCGCATCCTTTGCAGCAATCTGAATGGTGCCTATCTGAGTGGTAACTATACCAGTCCCGATCTATATGGCTCTGGAATCACTTGGGGAGATTGGAAGGGCTTCTGGTACAGCTACAAGACTGTTAACATTATGGTGCGACCGAAATAAAGTTATATCGTTATATGAAAATATGTGTGTAGAGTGCCAGACTAACTTATAGCCTATTTGTTAAAGTGACATATGATGATATGATACGATATGATGACGAAATAGAAGTTCAGTTGTAATGCTAAGGAAATAAAACCTTGTACTTTGGATTATATATTGGATATATATTCGTTTAGATATAAATTTACAGAGCCAAGCCCCTTCACCTGGTCCGTCAATTTGATCCCCATAAAGTTGGTTATATTATTGCTTACAAGGAGAAATTACATTTTGCTGATAGCAGACTTTTCCTCACATTTGTTTCGCCGTTCAAGTTCAAGTTCTCATGTTCTGTTTGCCGATATCATATTGTGGTTTATGAGAAACATTTGTCGAGCAGCCCAGTTCCTGTTCCCCTAAGTTCTGGGTGGGGAGTATTGTATATCCGCTTGTATATCCAATAACCGCAGCGTAGCCCCCAAATGCTTTTGTTATTTATTATCGGGCCTCTGGACTCTGGTGCACGGACAATGATGATGACTCAATTGACGGACAATGGATAACTCTCAAGTGGAGGAATTAAAGGCGAAATATCATATCAAGTTCTCCCCATTCATATTCATGTTGGGAGCCCGGAGAATCAGGCTGATCTCGGCAGTTTCTCCGCTCACCGCGTTGCGAGTATGACAAATGTATCGCATATCGCTCGACGGTCATTGTGTGCGAAAGACCCCGATAGCCGTACTTAGAGATATGCCATATACCACACTTTCGGGTCTGAGAATGTTGGTGGGAACCGTTCGTGTTGGGGACTTTATTTTATTTTAATTTGCATTTTTGTTTTGCTGCGGAAGTATCGATGCGTTATTGGAGCCTCCAGGCTTGAGTTTCCCTCAGGAATTTTTCTCGGAATTATTCACAGTCTTTACGATTAACGTTACGCGATTGCTGGAAAATGCAACGGAATTTTAAAAAGGTCTGGGCCTTCCGTTACAAACCAAGTACAGCTCACACCATCACCATCCAATCCCAATCCCCGTGACTAGGCTGACTTTTGTGACATTTGCATCTGCCATACAAGCGTGGAATCGCCATCGCACACTTAGAAATACATCCACTGGGGAATCGTGGCAAAAAATTTCTCATTAACTAAATAAAATTATGATAGATGGAATATACGGCTGACGGGCATTAATTGCATACTCACGCAAAACAAGTTTCCCAGATATCTGCCCGTCCCGGCAAAATCATTTAGCAAATTAAATTTGCATCTCACAAAGTGTTTGTATAAGGCAAAAGAGCAAGAAGCAGCAGAAGAAGACGTGGGGCTTTGAGAAATTTATAGGGGGGTGAGTCAGTGCGAAGAGAGTTTTATTTTGTCAGAGATTAAATATGAAATAGTTATGTTTTTAAAGATGTTTGTGTTTAAGAATTATGGTGGTGAGAGGCTAGAGTTTAGAGTTATACCATGATGAATAATGGTTATGTAACTATAAATTGTAAAATCAAAAAAAAAAAAATTCTTATAAAAAATTAATATAAATTTATCCCTGCCAAAATATGTGAGAAAAGATCCACCTGAAATTAGAGCACTCCTCTAAAAAAGACTGCAGTGTGTAAGCCTCCTCAAAAAATTCTTTTATAGACGAGCCAGTAGGGCGTTAGTGCCCAAGGGTCCGAGTTCGAAACCCATTGCATGTTTAACACTTAATGCTCCGACTTATGTGTTGTGATATTCTTGTATTTGTTTAAATTCTTATAAAAAATAGTTGCTTGTTCTGAATTTTTTTTAATCTCTTGTTATTTTGAAACTGTCCGATTGAGTCACCCTTTGCGCTGGCAGAGCAATTGAAGGTCGCAGCAGCCGGACACGGCAACCACATCGCCGGCTACTGAGCACGCATTTCGAAATGTGCGAGTGTCGGAGGCAATTGAAATGCTTTTCAGCAACAGCGAATCGAACTGCTCTGAAATGCTTTTATAATGAGTTAATAAGCGCTGCCCGAGAGCACCTGTTGCCATCGACGAGTGCAAAATGGCAAGTAATTAAGAGATTTGCCGACCGGCCTGGCCCAGATGCACTCAGCTTTATTCCCCGACTCAGCTGGTTTTGTTTCGATTTATTTATTTCTTTTTTTTTGCAATTTTAATTGCTAATCAAAACGATTTGTAATTCTGCGTTGTCTAAGTAATTTATTGACCATTACATAGTGCCGCGATTTGCGCTACGCTCGGCGAATACACAAAACCAGCCTCCCCTTTGATCTACGCCCCTTTTGGGGGACCTGGGGGGTTTGAGTTGAGGTGGCGCCAAATGTCGCCGCCGCATGTTTTCAAAATGAATTTCCGGCAAAGTGCAGCGCAAAGTGCGGATTCTGGGGGTGACGAAGGGGTATGTTTATCACTTAGTGGTTAGTAAGTATAATTGATCGATGGCATTAGCTGAATGTATTCCTAGTTTGATTTGACATTGATTAACTACAAAGTGAAGCTAAGTGAGTTGACGGAAAAATTTAATTTGATTTTGATTAGATTTATTTGATTAATATTGTGCTTGCAAAAAGTGTATTGATTTTAATACATGAAGGTGTTATCAATAAGAAATTTATTTACGTTCTACAAATATATTTTAAAACCTGAACTAATTTTTATTTTTATATTTATTAATGCTAGCATTAATTTTAAATATATTGACTTGGCAAATTTAAGTCAAATCAATTAATGAAAATATAGAAGAATATTGTTCCTTTATTTATAAAGTGAATAATTATAATTGTGAACCAAAGTATTTGATTTAAGACATTCCAAAAGCAAATGAATATTATATTTACTTAATTCTGATAATGTTCCCCCATCTGTAGCCCCCAATGTTTAGACTTAAAATACCATTCCTGGTGCTTGGTCCATATTGCAGCGTCTTTTAATAAATGATCCTACAAACTTTACACAGACAGGGCGAATTTGTTTGCTGTCGAAAATATTACAGTTTTCATTTGTAAGTTTTTTCGCACACCCAAACAAAAAGTGCCAAAAATATAATCAAAATGAAAATAAATTTTCTGGCGGCATCGCAACAGCAACACAGACAGTCATGTTGGCAGATACTTTTTAGCCACTTTGACTAAAGCAATAACATTAGTGCTCGGCTGGCGCAACTATTTTGGGCCAACAAAAAAAATACAAAATTGAAAATGTATTTGATTTTAGTTTTTGTTTTATTTTGGAAAAAACGTCGAAAGAAAAAAAAAAGCGGGGAGAACTGAAAACTGAAAGTGCAAAGCATACAGTTTTGAACTTGGCACGAGGGAGAACAACAGAGAGTGTGGATGGGAGTGGATTTTTGGGTGCACCCAGATAGCCGGTTAGGATGCAGATGCATCTGCATCTGCGAGTACGCGTATCTGCATGTCTGTAGTAAGTAAGTGCGGTACGGTCAATGCACAGCGACGTAGACGGCCAGACAAATATTTGTTTGCTTTTTGTTGGCTTTGTCATCGGTGGGTGGGGTGGGTGGCTCGCCCGAGGGGGTGGCTGATGGGGTGGGGGGTTGGGTGGTCTGACCACGTCACCCAGCCGGGCCTCATCTTCAACGCCGTCGTCGTCGTCGCACTCGTCATCCATATGGCAAACTATTTTTAAATATGTTTTAATTATTCGCCGGCATATTCCTTAAAGCGTTGACTAGTCGGCGTCTCCGTCTGCTGGCTGGCCCCGCCCCCTTTGCCTCCACCGCCTCCGCCCATAATACCGAAAAAAACCGGGGGTGTGCCACACATGCAACTACTTTCGAGGTTCTCTCTGTTAGACTTTGGCTTGCTCCACATTTTTTTATGTTCCTTTTCCTTGCAGCACCCTCTCAAATGGTATTTTCATTTACTACATAAGAACATAAGCCTCGGAAAAATCATAGTCTTAAGTCAGAAGTAATCGCTACCCTAATTTAGGGCCCTACTTTCAAATATTATTTTCATTACCCTAATAAACAAATATAGATATAGAAATGTGAATAGCCAAAGCCGTAACGTCATATCATTAAAATGATTATTAATCACCCCCAAAAGAGAAACAATAAAAGTTTTAAATCCTGCTAATCCAAATTACACCCATATCTTTTTTTATTTCAGGCAGTTTTAAAGTCGGAACTTCTCGGAGAAAACAAAATCTACTATAACTAGGTAAGAAAATTTGTTTTATATCAAATTGATTGGTATTATATTCCCGTATTTGTGAAATTTTTTTATAAGTAGAGTAATCCGAACTTCGTGGTTCTGTTATTTTGGTTCAGCGACTCTTTGCAGAGTACATTAAGTGTGAAGTTTTTCGCCAATAGAAATATTATTGTCGCGTCGCGCATAATGTGTCGCAGCTTGCATGTAATTTTCTAGATTTTGCAGCCGCCTCGGCTGACATACTCGCATACAAAACAAAATATAAAAAAACAAAATGCAAAATACAAAATGAAAAACAAATAAACAAACAAACACTCAAAAGAAATAATCAACTCTGCTAAGGCAGTTTTTCATATTATTATACCTAAAAGGATACTTAAAGAAAACATTTTATTTGTAGAGCCATTTACAGATCTCCCTTATATATTTTTTTACCCAAAAAATATTTAAAGCAAAGTGTTTAGATTTCGGTCAACTCTGCCAAAGAGTTATTTCAATTAATGTATATTTTTCCTATTTTTATTCGTGTTCTTATCGAGTGGGCCGCACCCAGCGATCCGATCCAATCCCCTCGATCCGTTTGGCTATCGAACTGTAGAGCAAGTCAAACATGGAACAATCGGTCAGCGACAATGAAAATGCCAAGTGCGAGTACGAGTAGCTTTTTGCCGCCGCTGCGGCTTTCGAACAATATTTTTAGTTGTACTTTTCATTTTCTATTTATTTAACTGGCGGTGGCAGCAGACTTGAGTCGGCCAACAAACCGCATGCCCGCTCGCTTTACAGGCTTCTTTTTACCACGGAAAATATTATTTAGGGGGCAGGGGGGCCTTGGGCTTTGGGGGCGGGGTTATTCCAGACGAGACGGGACGCCAATGAAGCGAGAAAAATTACTGTTTGTAAAGTGAGTTTGTCAACATGAGGCGTGTGCATCGCAGAACCAGACAAAAGCCAGATACAGATACGAATACGAATACGAATACGACTACGAATACAAATACTGATACAAACAAGTATCATTAACGCAATGCCCAAACCGTTAGAGAGGCATGCATTCGAGCTGGAGTTGGTGGCATCTTTACCTGGAAGCCGACTCCAAAAAGTCCATAACTCCAAGTATTTTTCTGCAGAACTTTTCGTTTGGCTCGGAATGACGATGAACCAGGAGGAGGTGGTCGAGGAGGAGGAGGGATCATGACGGGGGCAAAAGTGGGGGACATGGGCATTGTAATTGAATACCTGGCATACTCATCTTTTCCAGCACTTCCACCATGTTTACATTGGCATACCCTCCCCGCTGGGATTATGCTTGTTTGTCGGCACTTGATGCACATTTTGTCGACTAGGACTATGAATTAGCTTAGTAAAAGTTATGATATCTTTTAAAAAAAGTATCGAACGTCATGAAAACTATCCACTTATTTATATATTCCATTTTATATAGAACCTATAATGATGATGATTATTTATCCCCATTTAAAACCCATTGTCAATTACAGATCAGAAATGTTAATAAGTGTGTTCTCTAATTATCCTTATTAGCTGTAGAATGAAAACTAATTCCAATACTTAGATAATACCATTTACCAAATTTTTACCTTTAATAGATTATATTACTACTGCTAGAGTACATCAAAACTTAAAACTATTTATACTGCTAGTTTGGAGAGCATATATATCATATTTATTAAGGTATACATTATTCGACCTCCGGATAACCCCCCATTCTTAGTTCTTTTTGGGTTTTGTTTGACTAGGCGTACATTTATGGGTTGTTGTCCTGGCTGAAAATGGCACTGGACCCATCTTAGATGGAGGCCACGAAGGCCCAAGAAGCCAAGGCTATTGGACAAGGTCTGCAGCGTTGTCAGCAATTACTCATTTATGGCTTGTACCGGCATTTCTCGCTCTCGGCTTCTGTGTGAGCTGGTATCTGTGTTTACTGCCTTCTATAGCTCAAGCACTGGGAAAAATTATTTGTGATTTATTAAAGATGTTTTCGCCTCAATTGATATCAATTCAGTTATGATAGCTTTTATTTCTGTTATTATATAAATGGTCAAAATTTATTAGGTAATACCATATTTTCCTAAAATTTATATAAAATCTAAAGATATTATATCCTAGATGTATTATGTAGTATGTAGTATTTTCCATTAAAATACCTTATATTTAATGATCAACATTTTATTTCTGTGCACCTATTGATTTATGCATTCGACTTGTACTTCAGCTCTTGGGCTGCACTTTTTCATGGGATGGCCGAGGATCCTCGCCGGTTATTGCCTTCTGCTTGCTGCTTCTATTTATAAAGATTACGTGTAATTAAAATCGGTTCCCCAGCATCCTCTGCTGCTCATCTCGTTACGCTTGTCACCCGACCGTTACTTGCTGGAAAGAGAGACAAAATAAAGGAGATCGAAGTAAAGTCGATGTTGAAGTGGTCGAGGAAAATCGAGTTCCAACAACTCGACTGGGTGGCGCAGCAGGTTAAATCCGAGATTCTCTGTGACATCATATAATTGGAGCGTTTTCTTATAAGAATATTGATTGCATTATAATGGGCAAGAAATGTGGACAGGGAAGATTCTGAACGAGTAACTGCGCTTGACAGCAGAAATTAAAGTGATGGGGTTATAGTCGAGAAACCACCCAGAACTTATTAGGAAATAAATTTATAAACTAATTTTTGTATTTCAATGTGATCCTAAGAATATCAAAATTTAAAAGGAATATTCCAAATCGGTTTATGGTATTTGTATATCTTTAAACTATTTTTCAGTTTTTTGATTCCACAAGTGTCAAATTCTAAAGGATCTGACAAATATTTCACCAATTCGATCCGATTGTTCGGGATCCATTGGAAACCGTGGCTGCGGAACTGTTCGTTCCACTCTGTTGAAAACCGAAACAGTTCTCCCGATTCGGGCTAATCAGGGCAATAAGATTGCCCATTATCTCGGCAATTTACTGGCAGGGGTCGAAGGGCCACGACTGAGGGTGGGGAATGTGAACTTTGACCTACACTCAGAGTCCCCGCTCTAGGCAACAGTTCTCCATCTCCTCCAAGGGGATAAGCAAATTGAATTTTGAAGACGCATAATCACATTTCGAAATTCTATTTTAATAGGCATTTAAAATAAATACTCGTGCCTGATTTCGATGCTGTCGGACGATTATCAGTTATGAGTGGTCGTCATGACCTCGACGTGAGTGTTATCGATCCCCTAAAATACTCCAAATGCAAGTTGGTGTTATTTTTCATCCGACAGAATCGGAATCTTTATGTGCCATTTGACACAGTTGGGCAGGCACTGGCTCACTTATGCAATCGAATCGCCCGACGACCGATGATTTCCAACCTTATCATTCCCATTTCCACACAGTGAAGCCTCTAATCTCTGACAACCTCCGATCCTGGCCCCGTCTCCCTTCCCCAAAAACGAGCATGTTTTGAGCGCATGAATCCCATCGAGAAACGAGATGTAGTCAATTCTTGAACCCCGCTGAACTTTGGGCTAGAAAATGCAACTAATTCACGTACTAGAAAAATAAATTTTAATTATATTTAGATTATAATGACTGCTGATTATTTTGTAGCATTTCAGGCTGACCCAAAAAGGGTCATGGTTTTTAGTATCAAATGATTTACTTTACTTTGAAAACCTACTCAATTTATTTCTTGTGAAATCATCAAAAATTGGTTTTTGTGAGAATTAATTAACTTTAAAATGGAAATTTTTTTTGATTATACAATGCTTTAGCTAAAAACTTTTTTCGAAAATGTGGGGATGTCCCAGACTAAAATCATGTACAACACATAATCCTAATGGATTTCTTTAGTAAAAACTTTGCCTTTTCTTCTGCTGAACTTTGATATTGTATACATTTTTTGGCGTTCCATTTAACTTTTATTTTTAAGACTCTGACATTTTGCCGAGGAGACAATGCGAACCGAGAATCGGCGGCGTCGAAGACGTTCCTTTCCCTCTTAAATGGCGCTCCCAAAACTATTTTTGCCCACCGTCCGTCCGTTTGTCCTTTTGTCCGCGAGTATGTCTCCCGTGTCCGTCCGTCAGTCAGACAGTCCGTCCGGATTCGTTTGTGTCCACCTCTGTCTAGCCGTCAGTTCGCGGTGCGCCTTCGGTTTTAGCATTTACTTCTAGCATAGCTGGCATTTTTGTAGCAATTCGTGTCTATATGGTTTGTTTCCACCTCGTGCTTCTCCTTTTGTCGCATTCTATATTCTATTCGGTGCTCTCTTTGTTATGGGTATGGGTCCGGGTCTGTAAATGCCGCGTGCTCATCACTCGCAGACACTTTAGAATGCAGCTAGTATCTGTGAGATGCGAGCGATGGACGGATCTTGAGTGGCGGAGAACGGGGGAGTACAGAAGGTGTGGGGAGATTTTCGTATTTTGGGGAGCAGATTTCGAAAGGTTTTACTGGATCTATACTGATCTTAAGTTTCATCTGTTAAATGATAGCACATTTCACCTTAATTCTTGCACTGTATCTCCCTCAAGTTTCTTTATTTGCATTTTCATTTAATTCTACTTTAGGTGAGACTTAATTATTTTGGGGTGCAGATTTCGAAAGGTTTTACTGAATCTACATTGATCTTAAGTTACTATTTATTAAATGATAGTACATCTCGTACTATATCTCCTACTTCTCGTCTTTGCTTTATTTCAACCAATTGCAGAGCCTTGCTTTTTCATTAAATCTTTTTTAGTGGAGACTTACGGATTTTGGGGTGCAGATTTCGAAACGTTTTTCTGGATCTACATTGATCTTAAATTACTATTTATAAAGTGATGGCACATTTCCCTGAAACTCTTTTATAATATTTCCCACAAGTTTCTGTAATTCACTTTATTTTTGTAGGTATTATCTAGAATAGTTTATGTTTGTATTTTCGCCTTTCTTCGGCTTCTCCGCCTTCTTCTTTGGCCTCCTCGCCACCTTCTTCCTTTTCTTCCTTCTCTTCCTTCTCTTCCTTTTCTTCTTTTCGCTCACCCGCGTCTTCAGCTGCTTCTTCAGCTGCTTCTTCAGCTGCTTCTTCACCTGGTTCCTCACCACCCCCATCACCACCACCACCACCTCCATCACCTTCTCCGCCTGCTCCCTCTCCACCCTCATCGCAATCCTCCCATTCTACGCAGATCCAACAACACTCGGGAAATGGGAGTACGGTGGAGACCCCTTCATCGGAGCACTCCTGAAATGTGGCCGGTAATTGGCAGCTGGGAAAGGGAAACCATCTCAACCTCTTATGTTTCATAAGGAAATATCCAAACTTACTAGTGGATCAAGGCATCACCCTTGTCGTTTTGACAAACGTAAACTCCACAGGTATTTTCGTCCTTTTCCGTTTCTCCCACCTTCAAAGCATTGCCCGTTTTGCCCTTGCAACCACCATCCTCTGAAAATATTAAATTGTGATTGCAGATCCGTTTGCTGTGATATTCCAATAACACACCTCCAGGTTGAAGTTTCTCGAAGTGCACAAGGCCATGTCCATATGGCACTAAAAACCCTAGTAGGACCAGTCCAATCTCCAAACTAATCATGGGGAGTCTGGTCTGCTGACAAATACAACCGATTATGGATTACCATATGGGGATAGACTGGGCTTTTATAGCAAAGCCGATATTTAAATTCAATCCAATGGAACAGCTGCCTTCTGGCAGGGATTCCATTGAAGTTGAATGTTCCTTCAAATTCTTGGTAATGAAAGGGTTTTGCTATGCAAAGGGGGGTAATTAATATCTTAATATCTTTTGATTATAATAAATATAACTGGAATTTATAGATGTGTTATACAGAACTATTTTATAGAAGATAAAAAACTACTAACCAAATCGGCAGACAGCTTTGAGCTAAAATTCAATCTGAAATCCAATAAAATCCATACTACCTTCATGCGAATGCGAGAATTTTTGGCTATGTGCCTGCTGTTTCACTGCACCACCGGCCACATTGTGATCAAGGCAAGTGATCCCCTAGATCCTCTAACTTTTTCAACTGGTTTTAGGTCCTCCAACCACAGAGACACTGCCGCCTGCACAAACGGATGGTCAATCCGCATGAGCTTTTGAATGATTTTGCAGCCATCAAGGGAGCAGGAACCGGCGGATGTGCCCAAAAAAATACTGGAAGATCGGCAAATCATGCAGCTGGTTTCTACGAAACGGGAGGTTCAATGCCAGGCACGGGAACGGGAGCAGAAACCAAACCCAAGGCTTCCTCCGACAAGGGATGTGATGTCAACACAAAGTGCGATATAAAGTCGGTAATCACGCCCGGTGATCCCAAGCAGAAGTCCTCCATGATAGCCATGAAGGCTGCCCAGGATGCCAAGGCGGCCAGTGAGGCACAATCGGCGGCTGGCCAGGCGGCAGCCCATCATATCAAACTGGAGCTGGCGGAGAAGGCCTTCCAGTCGGCCAAGGCCGCCGAGGCTGCCCTGATGGGCAAACAGATGATGGTCGATCAGCTGGAGCAGGAGGTCCAGGAGGCGGATGCCGTCGTGGAGGAGGAGACCAACTCCATCCACCACACGGAGGCCAATATGAATGCCGCCGTGGATGCGGTGAAGGTGGCCACCCAGCAGTTCGAGACCATCAGTGAGCTGCAGAAGACCGCCAAGGAGGTTCTGGCCAATATCCAGGCGGTGGCCCTGGGAACGCAGCAGGAAATGGCCGCCAAGACGCAGCTCCTCGAGGCCGCTCGTAACCGGATGGGCCTGCTCCAGAAACAACTGCTGAGTGCCCACGACGACTACGAGAAGACCAAGCAGGCGGCCTACAAGGCAGCCTGTGCCGCCGTAGAAGCCAAACAGAGGGCCGGACCTGCATTCTCCTCATATTATATTTTTTAAGATTTCAATACCTCAATTGCGTTTTTAAATGATACTTTTGTTCTTATACCTTCTGAAAATATTTTCAGACTACTAAAGAAACGTTTTAATGATCTTAACTCGAGACATCTTCAATATAGACTTAGTAAAACGACAAGGAAAATCTTTCAAATAAGTAATTTAAAAATAAACCTCAGGTTAACTTGAACTTTGGTTAGAACTTATGCATTGCTTACACTCAACCGACAGTAAGCTCCGTTTCTCAATTTATAAAAAGTATTACCGCTTACAAACAATGATTCTATAAACCAAGATATAAACATGGTTATATAGAACCGATAAACACTGAATTCTTGTTACTCTCACTGAGATCAGCAGGTGTGACTTCGTTAGGATAGGGTTACACCATATGAGTGCTATAAAAGGTTCATGCATGGGGAAAAGTTCCCAAAGTAAGTCCATTACTCCAACTGAGATGAAGTGCCTCTTGGTAACGATTGTCTGGATGATCAGTTGCTCCAGCGTGAGTGCCCTGGTGCACTATGTTAAACTGGAGAAAGGCGGTATGAGAACCAATCCATTATCATTCTATCTAAAATCGACACCATAGCCTGCTACTTACTTTAGAAAAGGGCTGCAAGTCACCTAAAGGTGCCGAGATGGCTGTGGGTGATATCGAGCAGGATGATAAGTCTTGCGGAGCTTATACATGTCAAAGTACGGAAGGAGATGCTTTTGTCCACTTGTGAGTGAAATTAGATTAAATCGTTGAAATATACAAAGAATTTACTTTGCCCTTATAATTTTATTGGGCTTTCCCTTAATGACTTAACTTTATTAGTAGCCCTTTCTCATTAGGGTTTTAGTTTGCTTAATCAGAAAAACTTAACATAAGGTTAAATTGCTGGAAGGGACAAGTTCGTTTTCTCAAGGTAATGTTACTTAAATGAATAAGAAATCTTTAGAGAGCCTAAAAACGGAAAATTCGGCATTACAACCAAAAACAATATGATTTTGCTGTTGGTTAACTTGATAATAAGCAACTCAATTTTTCCAAAGCCAAAATTTTACTTTATGACAAAATTAAAACTTGACTTTCATAAATCTTCCCTTAATGAATCAATTAAATATATGTATAAAAGTCCTCTAATTTCTCAATATAAAGATGAGTTTTGGAATTTATCCAACATTCTCTCCAATCCCCTTAGTTGTCAGATACCGGCCACTTTTGCGGAGTGTGTTGAAACCGCCGTTCTGACGAATGTGGATTTTCCGCAATGCTGCTGGACATGTGCCGCTTGGACGAAATGTGATGGATCTGCTGGGGATGGTGCTGCTGGAGGAGGAGGAGCGGAAGGTGGTGGCGAGGGTGAAGCCGGAGGTGGCGAAGGGGCAGAAGGGGCTGAAGGAGAAGCTCCTGCTGCAGAGGGCCGTAGAGCAGGTGGTAAAAATGTTAAAGCTCCTGATACTACAACTACCATTAGGGATACTACAACGGAAAGGGTGAAAACCCGCACCAAGGGAAAAGGAGGCTCCAAAAGAAGCACTACCAAACCGGATGAATCTGAGTTTCCCGAAGAAAACTTAAATATTAAGTTTGGCGGTGGATCCCCAATATCCAAGTTCGGTGAGGACAGCATATAAATTCGATTGTCCCTGGTATTTATTAGTTTTAAGCCTCAACATTGCTTGATTTCGACCATAAATAAATGACACGACAATGTGCACTTCATTTGTCTTCTCGCAAAACTGACCCACATATACGCACGTCAGATCGGGAGTGATATCTTTGCCAGCACATTTCTGGTTTTCATGCGATTTTCGTTCCCCCTGCTGGACTTTTTCTTCGTTTTTTTTAATTAGCCGCCGCCGGCGAACAAATCGGCTCGAAAAACAGGAAAAGGGTTTCTGCCGGGTCCTTCAACCCGAGTGAAAAAATTTCAAAATTATAAAGCGAAGAAAACGGAATACAAGAAAAATTGAAAACCAGATCTCCTCGCGAGTTTGGGCATGAGAATGGGCATGGGATTGGACCTGGGCCGAAGAGCTTGAGCAGGTAGGGCTCGTTCCCTTCCGCAGAACACTACACCCTGGAGTAAAAGAGATTCGGCATGATGTACATTAAACGGGAAAGACAAGAATAACCTCCGAACAAAAAATGAAATGAGCCGCAGAAATCCCGAAAGCTTTTTTGGCCGTACAATTTGTGAGTGCGGCTGCAGTTGACACTGAAAGACCCCTACTGTGCGGCCAATATGCACATAATTACTGTATACAAACCCACATCCTGAGGGGATCTTGATCCTGGCAGCGAACTGGTTAGTCTAGGACTCAGTCAAAAATCTACAGTCAAACTTATGTTACTTAACTTTTTTGGTAAGTCAAAATATCAATAGAAATAGTAATCCAGAGGGACTCAAAAGTCTATAACACCATATTTTATTATTACCAAAAAAACAGCTTTACACAAAATTTGTTTAACAATTTCAGATATACAATTTGTCTATCTAAATACAAATTTAGATAAGACGTTTCTATTTCCAATAATCTCTGAAAAAATACAAAAATGTTTTTGATACATTTTTTATTTAGTCAAAAACTTTAAACGTTTAATATTATTAAATTATAATAAACAAAAACAACTTCATATTGAGTGCATGCTGTTACTATTTTTAAGAAGTTTGACTAAACTAAGTAGATCACAATTTTCAGTGTAGGGTGCCAGCTGCTCTGCCGCTGCGCTGCTCTTATTAATTGAGTGAACGTATCACTTTTGGGGACAGACCGCCAGAAGGTAAGGGAAAAGGGGATAAGAAATTACAATGTGATCCAAAATAAAATAAATATTGAGAATTAACCCAAACCAGATATAGTTATTAAGAAATATTGAAACGTAACCAACACTTGGCTTACGTCTCTGCCAGGAGTAACGTAAACAGTAAAACACGTAAGTGAAAAAGAGACAAAGTTTTGAAAACCATGCGGTTGCAACATGTTCGGTGCGAGCGAGATGCCAACAGGATTAGTACAAAAAAAGTAAAAACTAAGTTTTGTTTTTTTTTGAGTATTGGGGAATTTAGTGATTTGGATTCTTCAATTCTCCATCGGAATTAGATAGTTTTTAGGAATGTTGCAACATGTTGAAGCAACATGTTTCAAGCTGCTATATACTTGTGATTTATATACTTGTGGGCTGTGCATACATAGCTGTGGCCGAGAGCGAGATGGCACTACCAACCGGCGATGGCTAATAAGAATGCGAGTGAACGGGAAAGAGATAGACAGCCGAACAGCTGTGCGAGGTGCAACAGGTTCGACGTCGCGCATTTCGACGTAATGCCTGTCGGCAGCGTCGAACATATAACGCAACGCCGGCAGAACTTTGGGGCAGAGCAAATCCCCAAATCTGAGCGTTATTAAAAATACAGTTGATCGTGGGCCTCGTGCGCCAACGGACGCAAAGTTCCAGGAATTTGGAAATAGAAACACTAAGAAAGCAGAAATCAGTAAATAAACCAAGAAAAAACCAGAACCCTTGAGGAAATCAAAAGTCAAGAGGAGCGGACAAGTGCCAACGTTCGAAACTCGGTCAAGTGTTAAGAGAAATTCCAAATACGTTCTAATGAATTCCAATTCGTGACGAGTGTGTGTGTGCCGATCGGGAGCCATCCCATATTTTTAACACCTACCGGGCTTTACGCGTGTTTCACACATTTCCAGCACCGACGGATCGGATCATTCACCCAACTTAAAATCACTGAAAAAATGGAGGGATTAAACGCGCGAATTAAAGCCCGGCATCCAGAACTTTACACGTGTCTCGATCGCTGACTCACTGATTTGTGGTATGCCCAAAAATTAAAGGCAATTAAGCTAAATTTCCACAATTGATTAGCATTGAAATTAGGCAATGCCAAACGAAATGTGTTAATGAAAGCCGCAGTCCAAAAAGAACACAAAGAGGTCTGTAATCGTTGACGGAAGCTAAACTTCATGTCATGATTTAATGATCGCAAAGGGCCAACGGAAAAACCAAGTCGCCAAGGTAACAGTTGTCAGCTTAATTTAACAAAAAAATGGGGGCTATAAAAGAGTTAGAAATAATGGGAAAATATAAAAAGAGATTAGGTTTAGGTTGAATGGAAAAAATAGTTCATTAAGTTAAAGAGATTATCAAGGGTAGAATGGCAATAGAATGTTTAAAAGGGGAACTTTTGGAAAGACCTAGAGACTATTTTAACTGACTCTTATTCCAAAATGCTTCAACATCAAAATTGACTACTAATTTAAAAAAAAAAAACTTTACGAAAACTATACTTTTAACATCTAAATAACTACATCAAAGAAATAATCGTAAAAAGTTGGATTTTTAATTTACTAAAAATTTAACGAACAACCGATAAAAGAGTATTATCTGACTTTTTACTTATAACAAAAAATATACCTCTTTTATATAGTTCATTAAACCTAACATTTTTATACATTTTTTTAAATAACAAAACGTTAAGAAAAAAAACTTATTTCCAGAGCATTTCAAAGATAAATGTATCAAATTTTTCTGAAATAGTAAAATATATTTGTAATATTTTCAAGCTCCCTTTTTTCGTAGCTCAATTTCAACGTGATTAATCAATGAAAGCCACTAAAAGTGAAAAGAGGCGGGAAATCAAAGTAGAGGGGGCGTTATAAGGGGGTTAGCGGAGGGGCGGGGCTAATTGATAGCGGCAATAGTGGGGGCAGCGCTGCGGCAGAGGAAAAGGAAGCCGAGAAACCGTTACATTATGCGCGACAAAGGAATGTGTCACAGTTAAAAATCAAATCACACGTTAACGTAACGGCAAAAGCGGGAAGGCAACAACGTAGCGGTTGGCAACATGTTTGAAGCAGCGCTGCTGCAGAAGATCGCGGCTAGAGATGGTCGCTGGCCGCCAAATACGATAGTTTAAAATAGACAGTTGGTTATAAACTTGGGGATATATATTTTGTGGTCTTTAATTAATTTATTAGTTGCTCCCGAAACTTAACGGAAAACATTGAAAAGTAACTCACAAACTAACATTTTTTTCCCACCCCAACTCAAAACACACGTGGTCGGCAGCGTGCTCGTGCCACGCCGCAAACATCGCACCCCGCTCCCAT